AATGATGTAGTGTTTCTGTTGGTGGGTGTTGTGCACTATGTTTCTTCTCGGTGCATCCTGCAGGATTACTACAAGACTGGGGTGATACGCTGTCCTGATGGGATATCTATTCCTGAGCTGAGAGAAGCATGTGACTATCTCTGTATCTCCTTTGAGTATAGTACCATAAAATGCAGAGATCTGAGTAAGTACAGAGCTTATTGAAATAATTTGAATTATACAAATCGACTTCAGTGCGTGTGTGTTAATTCCAAGTCATGTCCTTTATTGAGATAAAGAAGATGGCTGGCGCTACATGAATAAAATCCATCCCTTTTTATCTCTTATGTAATAAAGCCCTAAAACCAATGGCTTTATGTTCTTTGCAAAATAACGTCTGATATTTCAGCATCTGATTCTGTGCTGTGGTCACCCTGTGGAACACTTAGCTCTGTGATTGCATTTGCAGTACAGATACAGCAGCATTCAGTGGTAGCTGATTTTGCAGAGGACAGGGAGGATAATTTTTTCAGCTCCTCACTTAGGAGAATGAAGCTGTGTCCCTGGTGGCAGCAGCACGGCTTTGCTGGTGGAGTGGGCAGCTCCAGGCTTCCCAGCACATGCTGTTCTCTCCTGCTCCTTCAGCCCTGAGCACAGCCCAAGCCTTGGCCTGTGCCTCTGGTGCTGTGCTCTCCGTGTGTGCAGTGGGATTATTCCCATGGCATTCCTGCTGGGAACGCTGTGCAGGACACCTGAGCCTTCCCCAGCAGGGCCACAGCCCGAGCTCCCTGTCCTTACAGGGATTTAGCAGCTCCTGCCATGAGGGCTTTGAGAAGCTTTGGTTTTAAGCTGCTGCTTATGAAACGTGGGTTGTGTGCTCTGCTCTCCCAGCAACTGGCTTAAATGGTGTTTCTTTTAGGAAAAGCAAGAGCAGCCTTGCACAATTACTGAGTGTTTAGTGGTAGTAAAGTGCAGAGGAGCTCTCAAAGTCACTCCCCTGTCTGCCCAACGCTATGTTCACATCTGCAGCACAGGCTGGTGGATACTCAAATGAGGTCTGAACTTACATAAGCTCATAGACTAAGTGTCTTTACACTTGTCTGCATTAATACTACAAGATAAACACATCTACTCCTTCTTATTGCTGCTTTCATCTCTTTACCAAGCTCTCAAATGTGCCTGTGCTTAAAATTTTCTTCTAGGTGCTCTGATGCATGAATTGTCAAACGATGGTGCTCGTAAGCAATTTGAGTTTTACCTGGAAGAAATGATTCTGCCATTAATGGTAGCCAGTGCCCAAAGTGGGGAGAGGGAGTGCCACATCGTTGTGCTGACAGATGATGATGTTGTTGACTGGGATGAAGAGTATCCCCCCCAGATGGGAGAGGAGTATTCACAAAGTGAGTTTATCCTCATTGTTCCCACCAAGCCACATGGTGGTAGAGGTGGCAGTGCATGTGCTGATTTAAAGTTTTTGTACTGAAATACAACAGAAAAAAATGTACAGAAACCTCTTACTTTGGGTAGCTCTGCTTAGTATTTTGTTTCACAGAAGCAAATGCTGCTTGTTATGTTCAAATGTAATTAGAAAGAGAAGCTAATTTTTATTATTAAGGTATTTGTCAGCCAGTGAGGGGGAAGAAAATACTTCTTCAGAAAGAGCTTGAGGACAGAAATGGGTAGGAGTCATGTTTACTGTGGGAGAACAACTAGAGGTTTTTTTGAGGAAAAAAAAAAGCAAGTGTTACTATTTTTGGAGTATTACAGTTGCGTGGATGATGAGTTCAAGCACCTGTAAATGGACTGCACAAGATGTGCACCCAACCCATTCCCCTGTATCTTCAGCTGTTTTTCTCTGGAGTTCTCCAGTTTCTCCCTCTCTTCTGAAATACAAATATTGGACTAAAGCAAAACAGTGGAAAAGATAAACTTTCTTTAGGCTAGTAGGTTAATATTTAAATACTAGGATTTTTTTTCTCATTAAAATGTATTTTTAGTTATTTACAGCACAAAGTTGTACAGATTCTTCAAATACATTGAAAATAGAGACGTGGCCAAATCAGTTCTGAAGGAAAGAGGGCTCAAGAAGATCCGACTGGGCATCGAAGGTAAGGGAAGCATGGCTTGTACTCTCCCTCCTTGGCCTTCAGGGTCTGCTGCACTTCTCTGCTTTATGGTTTTCTCTGTAGCTGGAGAGCCAAGGGGTTGGTGTTGTCTTTCCTGCTGAGGCTGGGTGACATTCCAGAGGGGAAATGGTACCCAGCAAGCAACAGGCCCAGCTAGAAAACCTGATTATGGGCTCCAGGCTGGTGTCCAAGCTGTGTCTGGCTGCTGGGCTCTCTGCAGACAGGTGCCTTTTTTCTGCTGCCTTCATGACTTGCATCTCATGCCCTTTGCCCTTTAGTTTGCACACAAAATCTTCTCTGGGCTTTGTTTGAAGTAACAATGCGTTTGTACAGCTTCGGGATATTGTGTTCTTGGGCTGGTGTCCTTTCCAGGGTGTGAAATGAAAAATGTCCTGTTAAGTGGCAGGCAAACATTTTCTTTCAGGAAGTACAAAACTATCCAGTGGATGAGTGAAGTGCAAAGAAATACTGATCTAGTTAAACATCATGTAAGTTAGGAGGCTGCTCTGTAAAATCTCACTGAGTAATCCGATTTTTATCATGAATGTAAGAACCGGGTTTCTTTGCATTACATTTTTCTTTTGATTGTTGACCCAGATATTTTAGAATCTAGCCTTTATAATTAGCAGGATTTCTATCATTCACTCACCAAGTTGTCATAGTTACGTTTGTAATTTGCCAAGAAAAAGCAAATGCTTTTAACTCTAAAATAACTAATTTCAGCTGAACAAGGTGGGAGTCTTTTAGCTAAACAAGAACTAGCCCTGCCTTTAATGCTGGCTAATAGCAGATTATTTCTGCTGGCATTTCTTGGTTTGACAGGGAAGAGCTGTGGCAGCGAGCTGTGCTGCTGGTGCCCTGTAGGAATGTGTAAAATGGACATTATTGTTGGGCACAGGGGAGAGGCGACTTCAACACAGCAGAACCACCTGTGCTGGCAGTGCCAGGGGGGCTGTGCTGTGTCCAGTGGGGCTGAGGGGGCTGGGATCTGCGGGGCTGGGATCTGCGGGGCTGGGATCTGCGGGGCTGGGCTTTCTAGGGCTGGGCTTTCTAGGGCTGGGATCTGCGGGGCTGGGCTCTGCAGGGCTGCGCTTTCTAGGGCTGGGCTTTCTAGGGCTGGGATCTGCAGGGCTGGGCTTTCTAGGGCAGGGCTCTGCAGGGCTGGGCTTTCTGGGGCTGGGCTCTGTATAGTCAGTGCTGAGGGGGGCTGTGCTCTGTAGGGCAGGGCTGATGGGGCTGTGTGTGCTCTGTGGGGCTGTGTGTGCTCTGTGAGGCTGTGTGTGCTCTCTGCAGTCAGGGATGATGGGGCTGTGCTCTGTGGGGCTGTGTGTGCTCTGGGGCTGTGTGTGCTCTGTGGGGCTGTGTGTGCTCTGTGCAGTCAGGGATGAGGGTGCTGTGCTCTGTAGGGCAGGGCTGATGGGACTGTGTGTGCTCTGGGGCTGGGTGTGCTCTGGGGCTGTGTGTGCTCTGTGAGGCTGTGTGTGCTCTGTGAGGCTGTGTGTGCTCTCTGCAGTCAGGGATGATGGTGCTGTGCTCTGTAGGGCAGGGCTGATGGGCTGTGCTCTGTGCTGACGGGGCTGTGCTCCTGCCCTGGCCAGGTTACCCCACGTACAAGGAGAAGGTGAAGAAGCGGCCGGGCGGGAGGCCGGAGGTGATCTATAACTACGTGCAGCGGCCGTTCATCCGCATGTCCTGGGAGAAGGAGGAGGGCAAGAGCCGGCACGTCGACTTCCAGTGCGTCAAGAGCAAATCCATCACCAACCTGGCGGCGGCGGCCGCCGACATCCCGCAGGACCAGCTGGTGGTGCTGCACCCCACGCCGCAGGTGGACGAGCTGGACATCCTGCCCATGCAGGCCGGGCCCGGCAGCAGCGAGCTGGAGGCCGAGGGCCAGAACCCCCCGCTCTGAGCGCGCTGCCCCGCACAAGCATGCTCCCTGCAGTGCCCTGCCCGCCGTGCCGCAATGCCCCGCGTCTCTCCCCGCTCCGCCGCTCTCCGGGATGCGGCGGGGCCCCGCGGATGCTCGGGGAGGAGCGGGCTCCGGCGCTGGGCTCGCTGTCTGTGTTTGCCCGTGGGTTTGTGACCTTGGTGACTCGTGAGCTGGCCTGGCCCCGCCGCCGGGGCACGGGCAGCACAGTGGGAATTGATAGTAGCACTTTACAAATGGTTGAGAAATGGAATTTGAAGCCATTTTTTATAAATGTATTGCACAATACTAACAAAAGTGCTTCTATCAAAGGTATTAACTGTACATAGTTTTGCTCTGAATAGATTGACCCTTTTAAAGTTATTGTATATGGTTGAGCACAAAACTACTTACTCTTGGGTTTTTGGATTGAGGACGTGATTCAATGACCCGTGCAACATCTTGTCCGAGTTCTTCAGTGAATTTTTTCACTCGTTTGCAGCGTGAGCCATGTTCAAAAATTGTGAACAACGGACAGGGGCTTTATCTTAAATTTTGCCTTACCTTAAGCTGTTCACAAATATTTATTTAATACATTTTTCATAAGTGTCATGAGATAGGAAAATGCAAATGGTTCATTCTTCATTTATTAATGATTGTAAACAGGTTTTTCATGCAAATAAAGTTTCCATTATTTTAATGGCCTTGAATTATCTGTGAATTATAAATTTGGCAAGTAGCTGCTTTTTCTTTCCTCAGGGGAAGGATGGTTAATATTAAGTGAAAAACAAGTATTTCGTAAAGATAATCAGCCTCCTTCAACGCACCTGCCTGTTGTGCTTTTCTCAGGCTAAATCTGGATCCAGGAGTAAGTAACAAAAGCTCCTCTGGGAATTTACTGTCATGACAAAGTGGTGGAGGTGTAGGTAAGGCACTGGCTCTCCTCCCTTTTCCCCCGAGGCTAAAGAAATGATAAATACCAAGCGCTTCTAGCATGCACCTTCAGCAGGGTTTTATCAAATTTATTTATCAAAGTAAATGCTCCATCTTAGAACAAGGGAAACATTTATTTTAAAAATATTTAACTGTCTAATACATTACACTTTAACAATATTTATAGTAAAGGATTCTTACAAGAAAGAATAAACAGCTTTATGGTACAATTAGTATAAGAAATATCCACATGGGGACTGTTTTGCAGTGTAAAAACACACCATACATCTGAAATGGTCATTTGCATATAAAAGCTACCACTGATGCCAGTGAGTTGCACAGTGATTTAAAAAAAATTTCAAACAACAGAATCCAAAATATACAAGTATTGCAAGCTATACACAGCTAACCAAATCAACACAGAACACTGTAGCAGGTTATTCCACTTTGTCTGAAGTTACACATGGTAGGATGAGTCGCATTCTGACACAGCTTTTATGAAGTTCCCACATAAAAGCCTCTCAGTCCCGCGAGTTTCACAGACTGCAGAGCTCCACCAGTAAATGCACTTGGCTGTTGGGGTGCTGGGTCATTTACAAGGGCCAGGGCAGGTCGCTGAAGTCCACGGGGCCGCCGAGCCCCGCGTCGGCCTCCAGCAGGCTCATGATGACGGCCATGGCCGCCTCGTCGTTGCTGGGGCTGCTGGAGCCCTGCTCCGTGTCGATCATGTCGATGCCGATGTGGGAGTTGTCCCCTGCAGGAACACAGCCAGCGCTCAGTGGGGCTGTCCCCGGGCTCTGAGCTGCCCCTGGGGACAGGGGGGACGGGGCTGACTGCTGCCAGCCCCACGCTGCACTGCTGGGCTCCCTCCCACTGCCCCCGCGAGGGCACCGAGCCTTCCACGCCCCACCCGAGGAAACCAAGCTATTAACCAAGCCTACGGAATAAACCCTACAGGACAGAGGCCAGGTGCCTCTCTGGGCACACAGAGCTTGCTGTGGGCTTTGTGCTCAGAGCCAGCATCCCGCTGCAGTGTCCCTGTGCTGAGCTGGGAGGGAGGGTGCTCACCTGGGACTCCACTTACCCAGGATAGAGGAGTTGTCGGAATACGGGTACCCAGAATTATCCTGGATTTGCCCGGACAGCAGCCCAGCTGAAGAAATGTCTGGAGTGCCACCATTCAAGATCTTGAAAGACAAAACAGAAGTTCTAAACCAGCATGAAATGGTGTGTTAATAAGTCTTCAATTGTCCAATACCAGAATTTTTAATAGGGGGTAGATGGACTTCCCAAAATACCCATGTGGTTAAGAATTGTTTATAATAATTTCTAACAATCTTCTACACCAGGAGAATTATCAAGGGGGTGCTGAAAACACCCAACCCTCCACCTGTGCTTTTATGCCCTGCCAGCAACCACTATTCTGAGCACATGTTGAATACTGGAGGGTAGAAGAAAGAATAACTAGAATTACTAGAATTGTAATGCTAGTAATTGAAAATCTGTTCCAACTTGGGAGTTTTATTTCAAGAACAAAGAGAGCTGGGAATAGACAGAAATTTTTATATTTAAGAAATAGTTACTGTCTGTTCCAGTACAATTCATCATTTCTGAGAAAAAAAGGTTTAAGTAAGCCTGAAGCAGTGCACAAGGATCGGGGTAAGTGTTCTTGCTTTGGATGAAACTTCCATAAGCGTTCAGAGATTGCTGGAAGCAGCCAGGACAAGTGGCTCAAATGGCACCCGAGTGCTACTCGGTAATCTCGGAGCAAGGCAGGAGCTCGGTGTTGACTTCACAAGCACCTCTCTGTGCTCCAGCAGCACGGAACCAGCCCTGTCTGTGCTCCAGCAGCACGGAACCAGCCCGGTTCGGGCTCCAGCAGCACGGAACCGGCCCGGTTCGGGCTCCAGCAGCACAGAACCGACCCAGTCTGTGCTCCAGCAGCACGGAACCAACCCTGTCTGTGCTCCAGCAGCACGGAACCGGCCCTGTCTGTGCTCCAGCAGCACGGAACCGGCCCTGTCTGTGCTCCAGCAGCACGGAACCGACCCGGTTCGGGCTCCAGCAGCACAGAACCAGCCCTGTCTGTGCTCCAGCAGCACGGAACCGGCCCGGTTCGGGCTCCAGCAGCACGGAACTGACCCAGTCTGTGCTCCAGCAGCATGGAACCAGCCCTGTCTGTGCTCCAGCAGCACAGAACCAGCCCTGTCTGTGCTCCAGCAGCACGGAACCGGCCCGGTTCGGGCTCCAGCAGCACCGGTGGCACTCAGTCGGGCACAGCCGGCGTGCAGCAGCAGCACTTCCAGCGTTCACCAGCACGAGGTGTCAGAGAGGTTTTGGAGGGGAGGGAGGGGAGGAGAGCCGATCCTTGCAGCTCTGCTGAGAAAATACAACCTGAGGGGCAGGGGAGTGTCCAGGACCTGCTGCTGGTGAGCACCGCAGCGCTTGGGCTCTGCTTTCCCAGCCCAGCTGCCAGGAGCTGTTCCCTGGGCACAACCCCACGTTCCCTGAGCGTCCCCAGACCGGGGGAAGCTTTTACCTTCTTCCCTCCTGGCGAGGATGTGTCGGGTGGGGGGGTGCTGGTGATGTTCAGGGGACTCGAGCCACAGCTGGAAGGTGATGAGCCTCTTATCCTAAAACACACAGAAAACAGGGCATGGGTGTACAAGAGAGTCAGAGACTTGGAGTTTTAAATGCTGACTTTGGTATCAGGTGCCAAAAGCATGAGCTTCACTTTTGTAATCTCCCTTTTTCAGTGTTCCTCACAGCCAGACCAACAATCCTGTGTAAATCCAGCCTGTTTGGTCTGCAGCCTTTACTTCCTCCCTGTTTTATTCCTGGGCAGCCTTCACAGAAGAGTCAGAAGGAAAAGGTCCTGGCAGCTAAGGAAAGGCTCCTTTTTGAGTATTTCTCTTCAATTTCCACCAGCTACGAGTTCCAGCTGCCTCAGTCACAGTAACCCAGACTCCTCCAGTGAGCTCCTGTTACAGAAGTCCACTGGACACTGGAGTGTTTGTAACTCATTGTTCATCTCCATTTTCCATAGCTTGATCAAACATCGTTAATAATGAATAATGTATTGACAACAAATCTCCAGCCTAAAGGGAGGAGGGGTAGTTACAGAGAAAAGCAATGGAAATGGGAATCTTCTCCTTGGCAGAGTTCCCCTGGGAAAGCTGAACAGAAGGCAGCTTTGGAAAATAGTAACAGCTGCTGAAAAAGGACTGGAACTAACCCAGGGTCCGAACTGAAATGCAAACACGGGTGGAAACTGCACTACTACACTCACTTGGGCTAATTAATTAAATGTTTCACAGCTACTGAAAGGGATGGTTAAGCTTCAAAGTATTGGCTCAGCCACATTTTCCTTCTTTTCCTCTCTCCCCTTTTTCCTACTCCTGCAGAGAGGAATGAAGCCTTAGGGACAGGTCTGCTGCTGCCTTCAGTGAGGGTGGAGGGAGTCTCCTGCCTGCAGCAGGAACAAACCTGTGGGAAACAGACTGGATGTGCTCAGCACTGCAGCTCAGTCCGGTTAAATCGCTACCACTGCACAGCTGCTGGCTGAGACCCCTTTTGTAGGGAAGGAAACAGTTCCCAAGAGGAGATCTGTGAGGAACAGGGATTTTTAGCCACCAGAAATGAAGTGGTACCCACTGAAAGCAGCTGCTCACGCAGGTGAGAACTCCAGAGGCAGCTGTGGATCCCCAGAGTCCCTCAGTGACCCTGTGCATGGCCCAGCCCCACATCCTGACTGCCATGGGAAGGCCCCAGCGTTGTGTCCTTGCTCCAAGAGCTGCAGGGGAGCTGCACAAGCTCATCATGCACATCTAACAACTCCAAAGAGTGAATGGATTGCACAGAAACAAACATTGCTGCTCTGGCACACAGTCAGCAGCTTTGGCATTTGGAGGTTGTGCCACTCACAGCCTCAAGTCACTGGGAAAAGAACAGCCTGGAATAGATTTTTTTCTAGGTAGCTGCTCTTTTTAACTCCTGTTTCTGGTGAACAGGCCATCATCATCATCACCACTGCAAAAAAAATGCCAGCATCAGTCTTGCAACAGGGAGCTGCAAGGCTGTAACTTGATGCCTTCCCTGTGGGGGCTGACTGCTCAGGGATGCTGAGCAGGAACCTGGAGCTGTCTGAGAAATAGAGTTGGATCATTCCTTATCCAGCTTGAATAAATTGTTCTTTCAGAGGAAGTTAAGGAAGTCTAACTCCTCTTAAAGAGCAGTGAAAAAACAACTTCCACACCATTTTCTCTCACCTGTGAATCTCCATGATTTCTTCAGCAATCATTCTGCCTATTTTACCTGCCCCAGCTCTTGTTCCACCTGGAATTCCAGGCACAGTGGGATGGGTCCTTTTGGGGCCACCTGAAACAAGCAGGAATTTTAAGGTCAGAGAAAAGCTTCCAAACCTTCTCCACAGGGCAATTGTATTTAGGCTTTGAGGAGCTGCAGGACCTTCTGAACTGGATTTATTGGCAGTTCCACCAACTGGTGAGTGGATGGAAATGGATGGATGGAAAGTTTTGGCTTGCACTGAGCTGTGCTGGGTCTCAAATGTCCCTCTGTGCCAGCAGGGGCAGAACAGACCCCAACTCTTTTAGAATCTGGCTGTTCTCTCTCAGAATTCAGCACCTGGTGCTCCCTCCTGTCCAGAGCTGCTACAGAATGGCCTTGTCAGACCTGCCCTCTGCCCAAACAGGCTCTTCTCCACACACAGCATCTGTTCTCTGCTTTTTGTGAACAACTTGCCAGAGAATATTCCATTCAATATGGGATGACTGCAAAGAAAGCCCCTGGCAGGTAACTGCAGGAATCTCAAAGTGGAAGGAAAAGTGAGGTCTGACCAAGTTGGGAGCCGGTGCTGTGATGTGATTTCACACTTGCACAGCACTTGGGAGGTTGTCAGGAAGGAGCCTGATACACTCCAAGCAGAGAAGAGCCCACATTGAGAGGGCAGGAAAGGCCTCAGTGTGGATAATTGTAAATGGATAATCCTGCCTCTGGAAATGCATTTTTAACAACAGCAGCCCTCAGCAGGTGCGGCTCAGAGCTAAACCTGATTTTCCTGAGGCTATTGAGCAGTGCAGAAGGGCAGCCCAGGTGTGCAGGCAGGAGGAGCTGAGGCCAGGCAGGGATTCCCTGAGCACAGGAGTTACCTTCTCCAGGCTGGAGTACGCTGTCCATGCTGTGGGGGGACGCTGCCAGCTGGGGAAAGGCCGCGTCCCCGCTGTCCAGGACCGCCGTGCTGCGGAGGGCGAGGGTTAGAAAAGTCAGTCAGAGAAAACCCTACAGGTAGAAAACCCTAATAAAGTGATTAAAAGCCAAGTCATGCAGCCAGAGCTTTGGCATGGGGTGCTTCAGGGTTTCAGCAGTGTGTGAGTCAGTGTCACCCCTGTGGCTGACACCAGGGCTGGATTAACAACAGGAATCAAGCGCCCTGTTCCACCCCAACGTGTGCAGAGCTGGACCCCAGCAGCTCCTCTCAGCACACAGCTCCTCTACAGCAATTATTCTGCTGAGAAGTCACCTCAAGAGGAAGGAAAAGGGGAGGGGAAATACCTGCCAAAGCAAAGAAATGCACGTCCCTTAAGTCCCCACAGAGACCAAATCCCAGCTTTGCCCCAAGCAAGAAAATATTTCTATTTTCTGCAAGCTTTAACAATTTAACAGAAATTAAATTACTGCAATTGTTAAACCAAACCCCCTCTCCCCAGGGTGCTATCTGGAGAAGACACCCACTGAGATACAGAAGGTGTGCACGTATTTTAGGTCAAATCTCCCAGGAGAAAAGGGCCAAGCCATGGGCACTCCCAGGCTGAGGGAAGAGCACTTACGAAACCACCGTGTTTGTGGAGACAATGTATTCTACTTCTTTGGTCCAAGGGTTCATGAAACTGAACCAGCGACTCCGCAACGTAATAAAAGAGCCATCTTTTATTTTAAACTTGTAGCAGTTAGTCGTGATTTTTTCTCTTGTCTGCAAAACTGAAGAGAGGCAGAAAGCAAGTCATTCGTGTCAAGCAGGCACCACAACATCAACACTGCCCTTGTCAGGGAAAAGCCAGTTTATTCCTCCCCACATCCCTCAAGAAAAATGCTATTCCTCCCTCATCCCACCCATCCTGAAGCTCAAATATTCCCTACAAATCCATGCAAATCCATAATAATCACAGTGCTTGGCACATCCAGCACAATGCTCTCAACTAAAGCATTTGCAAACAGCAATACCCAAATCTTTTCCAGTCTGTTTGGTTTCCTTAACACACAACAACTGCTCCCAATACTTTGAACAAAATTTCTCTGCTGAATTATTAATAACTGTACCTTGTCTGTGACATTCTGCAAGATGTGCTATATCATCTTGATGAAAATACTCGTAACACGAAGTACCTAGAAGTTCCTGGGGTAAGTATGCCAGGATGGCTGTTGCCCTGGGGAAAGGGAGGGAGAGGAAGAAAATAAAGAGAAAGAAAAAAATAAAAGAATCTTTTCAAGCTGAGGTATCAGCCAGAGATTCCTAAAGCTCACACCGAGGCTGGGTAAGGCTCAAATAATGCAAAAGGGAATTTTCAGCTTAGAAGGTAAAAAAAAAAATAAATTCCTTGAGAACACTACTTTAAATTCTCAGGTAATTAAAAAAGTACCTAAGAGCCAGAGCCCTCAGGCATTACATCTGACCTACCAGAGGGGATGTAAGACTTTCTGAACAGCTTTGCAGATTTGCTGTAATTTTGGGGATTTAAGCCTGAAAAAAGGGGCCTTGTAGCAGCCACAAGGTAACATGAAGCTTTCTGCATGAAGTGCCACTGCAAAACTGACATCAAAGGTTTGGAGAACCCAAGGGTGGGACAGAACAGCACCACACCAAACTCAACTTGGATTTTGTATATTGCTTAGAAGAAAAAAATTCCTGAGGGAGAAGCGACAGTTCCTTGAAGAAACTGAAGTAAGTGTCACAATTCCAAAGTATTCAGTGCAAGTTAAACACCAAGGGCAATAAGGAAAAAACCTAGACCAACACCTCTTCTGGAATCTCAAAAAAGCCCAAATTAAATATTATAAAATGTAGAAATTAGTACATATTAGCAATTATGAATGAGAACAGAAAGAGAAAAGCTGCAGCACAAAAATCTGGGGCATTTTTGTACATTCCCAAACACAGCAGGAGAATTCAGCAGCAGCTGAGGACACCCCAAGCCCTCCTTGACAGGGAGAGCTGACGCCCTTGGAGAAGGAAACAAGAATTCCAGCTGAGTTTTGTCTGGTGAGCCTTATCCCAGGACACCTAAAACTCCAAGCAAACTGAGCAAAGCAATCTCCCAGAGAACCACCAAGCAGCAAAACCACACCTGTCCTGAAAATGGAAGGGCTGGGAACCAAGTCAAGCTTCTCTGAGTGTTTTCCCCAAGAACTTCAGCAGCCAAGGCTTTTGGCAGCACTGCTGTGGTGGGACACACAGGCAGCAGCAGGGAATTTGTCCACCCTTTTCCTCCCACTGCAGGATGAACAGGTGCTGTGGAAAGGAGAACCTGCACCAAATTGCAGACATCAATAGACTGGGTGCATTCAATATCTGACCATGTTCTATTATGCAAGGGAGGAAACTGTTTGGGTCCTTCTGGAATTTCATCCTGTATTTCCTTTTTTTCCTCAGCTCGCTTCTCCTACTTAACAAAGCAGCTCTGAATCCTGAATGGCATCTGCATAGATAATAAACTTAATTTTACTCTCAAATTCACCATGCAGACCAATTAGAAGCCCTGAATAAGAAAGAGGGGAGATGATTCTCTTTAAAACTCTGCTGCCATTCCAGCAGTGAATTGTTCAGCAGTTCCCTGGCTGTGGCTGCCTAATCCACAGCTGGGATTCTCCAGGAATCATGCAGTCCATGAGGACAGAAAGGGGCACAGGGAATTTAGGAAGTGTTTCTTTCCTGAGTTCCTTGGACAAATGATAAATGAACAGAGCAAGCCTATAGGAACAAAACAACCTGACTTGAAAATAAATGGTTTTCAGCTTTTACAGGTGCCTAAATATTCTCCAGGAGAAGCAAGGATCATTGGATGTCAACTTCAGGCCTACAGATGAGGCTTTCTTCTAAAGAAATTCCCTTTCAAAGAGCCCTTTGAAGTATCACAGACGTCCCAAGGACTGTAAACAACAGCTGGAAAGCAATTCAATAAAAGCATACGTGTTTAAATCCAATGGGTCAACATTTCCTGAGTCTCATTATTTTAGAAATGCCTCAGAACTACACATCAGGGGAATATGCCTGATCTTCTGAAAATAAAACTTGTCTATAAACAAGACAGAATGGCATTTTGTGAGCAACAGAAAGCTACGAGTGCTCCCCCAGCTCCCAGAGTGAGCACCAGCTCTGAGCTTTCCATCAAATTAAAACCAAAACCACCCACCAAACCTAGCCAAAACCTACAAATCCAACCACCCCAAAACAGATAGCATAAAAAAAAAATAAATGCATATTCTCCATACTGCACTTCCTCCCATGACTGTCCTCTAAAGGGGACTAAAGCCCAGCTGAGTCTCCCCTGAAAGCAATTCCAGCAGGTTCTGTCAGAGTCAGGAGTTTGGGGCTTTTCTGTGTCTGAAGCAGCTGAGCCAAAGGCAGAGGGAAAGTGGAACAGCCTCATCTGGGCAGTCTCAATCCCTGGTGCCAAGGAAGGGAAGCACACACCCCCTCCCAGAGGAACCTCTCCATCAACACCCTGCAGCCTCCTCCTCCTCTGCCCTCCACCACCCAGCAGTTTTCAAGGGAGATTCAGGCCACCTGTGCCTGCCAGTGAAGAAAATCCAAGCCTTTTCTTTTGGGAAAGGAAAGAAGGAGCCTTTTAGATAAGAGATGTGTGTTTGAAAGCAGATAGCACAGGGGCACAAGGTTTCCAAGAGATAACCCTTGTGAAAAGCTCTCCTTGCAGGCACACAGGGTCACGGGGAGGAGCACTGAGGCAGCAGAACGTGTCCTAGTAAACAGTTACATAAGTGTACGTGCCAGCAAAGCCTAACCCAGCTCTGCAGCCTCTTAACTCAACCTCTGCATCTGCAGGAGGCTGCAAGCAACACAGCAAGCAATCAGGGTCCAGTTTCCAAACATTTTCTTCTGAAGATTACGCACATTCATAATCCCCCCGCTCCCAGGAGCTGGCAGAAACCATCCTGGCGTTTTTCTGCCACGTTCTTGGAAGTTTGGGGGATTTTTTTTTTAAATTTCATCAGTCACACTGAATAAATGTGTAGTAACAGCTTCGAGCTGCACCTCAAAAGCCAGCCCAGCTTGCAGTAAAAAAGCTAAAAAAGGGCAGCAATTTTATTTTTATTTTCACTGCTGCAAGGAAAGCTGTCCATGAGGCAGTGCCCCAGGGTGGAAGTTGTTAGTTATAAATAACTGCAGTTATCGGCTTTTGCCAGCACATACTGACTTTTGCAAATTATTTTGCTATAGTACAATTTGTAATCACTTCTAACTGCTTTTGATAAAATGTAATTTGTGGCAAATTCCCTGGCCCTGTGTAGTTTATGTATTTTGGTGTGATAAATATATTGCAGTTTAGACTCTTGCAAAATACTGAAATGAAGACTGTGTGCTGTGTATTAACTGTTGCAGAAGTAATTAATGCTTTTATAACCAACTGACAATGGTAAGAATAACTCAGAGAGTTCTGTTAAATAGATAATGGTGATTTAATGTAATTCTAGAATATCCTATCTGAATAAGAAAACCTTGAAAATAACCAGGACACCAAGAAAAAATTTACTACTGACTCTCTGGTTCTCAGGAAGTGTCAAACAAACAGAAGAGAGCATTGAGAAGAAATAAAATATATTGATTACTTTAGATTTATTTTTATACTGATTTTTTTTTTAAGAAGCTCTGAAAATGTGTAGAAATATTTTTTAATTTTTTAAAATTGTAAACAATTTGTTACAATATTTTTTAAAATTTTTTAAACTGTTTTTAAAAATTTTAAATTTTCCCCAAATATTTTTGAAAATATTTTTTTAAAAAAATTTAAAATATCTATTTAAATTTTTAAAAACATTTTAAATTTTTTAAACTTTTAGAAATTAAAAGTATTAATTAAATTAATTAATTAAATTCTTTTTGGAGTTTTTCTTAAAAATGGAAAATTTTTAACATTTTATTTTTTTATTTTGAAAAATTTTATTTAAAAAATTGAATATTTAAAAAAATTATTTTGAATATTTAAAAAATTTATTTTGAATATTTAAAAAATTTACTTTGAATTTTTTAAAATTTTGTAATTTTTTTTAAAAAATGATTTTTTTAAAAATTTATTTTGGATTTCTATAAAATTTTGCACTTCAAAAAAAAACCTGAATATTTTAAAACTTATTTTGGATTATTTTTAAATCTTGTAATTTTTTTTAAAAAAAAAACTAATTTTTTTTAAAAACTCACTTTGAATTTTTCTTTTCATTTTGTCTTTTTTTTTAAAAAAAAGCTTGAAATTTTTAAATTTTTTTTTTATTTAATTATTTTAATTTTTTTTTAAATGTTTTTTTATTTTTTTAATTTTTTTTTATTTTTTTATTTAATTATTTTAAATTTTTAAATTTTTTTTAATTTTGAAAAATTTTAAAATTTTTTTTTAATTTTTATTTAATTTTTTAAATTTTTTAAATTTTTTTTAATTTTTTAATTTTTTTTTAAATTTTTCAAAATTTTTAAATCTTTTTTTAATTTTTTTTTAATTTTTTAATTTTTTAAAAATTTTCAAAATTTTTAAATCTTTTTTTAATTTTTTTAAATTTTTTAAAATTTCTTTACATTTTTTTAAATTTGTTTTAATATTTAAAATTTTTTTTTAAATTTTAAAATTTTTTTTAAATTTTTTTTTAATTATTTTTTTAATTTTTTTTTTAATTTTTTTTTTTATTATTATTATTTAATTTTTCTAAACATTTTTTACTTATTTCTTTCCCAAAGATCCTTGTGGCTGGCAGGGGGATGCTGACCTCTGATCCACGAAGACGAACTTGCCGTCGATGGCGTGGCGGGACACGTACTCCGTGGGCTTGACGCGGATCTCGCCGTTGGCCGGCTGCGGCACCACGTGGGGATGGAGCCTCCCGATGGCAACCAGGCAGCTTAAATTGCATCCCTCGTTATCTGGCTCGTTATCCTCGTCCAGCCCCATCTTGGTGGGAGGCCAGCTTTTCAAGTAGCCCGTGCTGTGAATCGTGCAAAAGCTCTTGCGGTCTGCTGCCAAGGGAAAAGGGAAGGGAAAATCAACCAACAGAAGGGGTTGGGTCGTGGCTGCAGCTCTGGAGAACTTCAGCTCCGTTCTGCCAACAACAGCTCCTCTCCTACCTGGGGAATTTGGGATGCTCTGCACTGGGGGCGTTGAGGCTGGAGAAAAGGAGGCTCAGGGGGGACCTTGTCACCCTCTAGAATGGGCTGACAGGAGCGGGGAGCCAGGTGGGGATCGGCCTCTCCTCCCAGACAGTGGCTCAGGATGAGAGGACACGGCCTGGGGCTGCAGCACTTTCCTCACTCAATCTGGACACGATTTTCTGAGCCTGAGAGGCTTTTCAGCCTCTCAGTGGCTGATCTGTTTCACAAGGGAAAGGCTTTTGGGAAACTTTTCTCTCTCAAGGACTGCTTTCTGTAAATAGGTCTTGGTTCTCAAAACAATGTTGTACAGACGTTCTAGAGGTGTTTTTCTCTTGTCCCACCAGTGGGATGAGAGAGGTGTTGTTCCTTGTCCCAGTCAGGTTAACCTGTATAAGAACACCTCATAAAACCCTGAAATAAAGGCTTTTGCCTCCATGGGATTGAAAAACTCTGCTGCTGTGACTGAACCCATTGCTCCCATTTCTCTAGTGACAACTGAAAGCATTGTCAAGCCTTGGAAGGGGCTGCCCATCCCTGGAGGTGTTCAAGAAGTGACACAGCACCTGGCTGGTGAGGGGATCTTTGGTCAAAGCCTCAATGCCCTTGGAAACCTTTTCCAGCTCGAATGACTCCGAGATTGGGAGGGATTTTTCAGCACTCCTGCTGTAATGCAGCTAATCTCAGATAATCCAATAAACAATTTCTCTTGGCAAAACTGCTGTTTATGCTGAAGGATCACATAGCTCAGACCAAGGTTGCTCTTGGAAATTTTGAGCAGAAATTGCATCACATCTTACTATTTCAGCAAAGGAGGCAAATTACCCAAATGTATGTATGAAGGAATTAGTAGATTAATAAATAGAAAACCTCTTCCATCTTACCCTGAGGCTCCTAAAAAACCCATTTGGTTTGGCAGAGCACACACTGCCTGGGGTGTACAGGGGACAGCTGTACACAGGGGTGATGATGGAGACTTTGCAGTGGCCAGCAAAAGTCAGTATCCAAAAGGAGAATTCCTATTCCTCAGCACCGAGCAGGCCTGCAAACTCCAAGGAAAACGACTTTCGTGGGGAGGTGGAGTAAAAGGCTTATCCCAGCTACACAAACCAACCTCCTCAGCATCCAAGCTGAGCCTGAACCTCACAGGGAGTTGGGAGTTTGGTGTGTTCCAGAGATTACCCCAAAACGGCCTCTGTCCTCTTGCTGTTTGTCTTTTCACTTTGACTAACACCAAATTCACAGTAGTCGAAGAAGAAACCTTCACATTTGGGCTAAATATACATTTCAACGTGCCCAGAGTAATAGCCTGCAGATAAAAAACATTACCACCACTGCTAATGCTACCAGCAAATATTCCAGGTGTAGAAATGCCAGGTTTCCAGTACCCAGAAGGTACCAAACCCACAGATGAACTTAGAATTACATTCATTTTTTGAGGTGGATATCCATCCCCACATCACTGGGCAAATATGGAGCAGAGAACAAGGAGCACTCCCCTTTACTGGAGACACTGGCCAGGTGGTGGAGACCGAACGTGATCTGACCGATGGCTGGAGATGATGCAAAACCCCCCAGAACTGTTGGCACAAACTGCCTGACAAAGTTTGAAAGAAAGCAGAGTGGAGAATTTAGCTTTAAATGCTGATACAGGTGTGTAAGAGATACTTCAGGGGAACGAGGAGGAGCTTGAAGAAGTAACACACCTAGACATAGTTCAGAATCTTAACAAGAAACATCGATCAACGTAAAAAATTTAACCACTGCAAACAAGCAGTATAAAAAAAAAAATAAATAAAATCCTGACAGCCTTGGTAATAGAAGCATGAAGGTTACCTTTCTTCTTTGAGCAGGTTGAAGGGAAATCCTTGTCTTCTACTTTGACAGAGGGCCTGTTGCACTTCATCCTGCAGAAGAAGGAGCGGCGCGCTCCGGAGCAGAGCCGCGAGGGCCCGGGCGTGATGTCCGTCTTGACCGGGAGTCCAGCTGTGCAAGAGCGAGGGAGGGAGGGTCAGCTGCAGAGAGAACTGCCCCACAAACCCCACCCCACACTGCTTCCACCTCATTGGGCCTTGCAGCTCCTGTTTCTGAGGTTTTGGGGTGTGTGAGCGGGCAGGACCCAGCTGACCACAGCACACTGCCGCTCCTGACTGCGCTTTCTGCTGGTACAGCACTGAGGAGAGCTCGAGGACACGGGGCTCTGAGTGCAAGAGATTGGACAATTCCACACAAGGCCCGTGATAAACACTGCCATTTCTCTGAACTGGTTAAAAATAGAGATTACTTCTCCATAACCAGAGCAGAATTCCATACACAGTCACTCAGGAGGCTCCTGGCCCTTCAGACTAGCGCTTTTCTATCACAACACCCTCCCAGAAAACACACAGAGCCAAAGAGCCCCATGACAGGGCAGGGATAGGAGGAGGAAAAAAGGTAGCAGGGACCCACACGGGAACTGCAAATCCCCAAGACCTCCAGTCATGTCTCAGAAGTCTCTCCTGCCTTGCAGAAATTAGTGCACACGGACATGCCCTGACAACAAATCCTGACCTTTACCATGTTCCCACAGTGGATTATTTTTCTGTGGGAAAACCAACCAAAAGCCATCCCTCAGGTGCCAGCAGGGCTCTGGGAAGCCATGGAATGCTCCCATGGCATGCATCAGGAGCACAGGTATCAGCAAGGCCAGTGCTCCAAGAGCTGATGGAGGATTGAAATCCCACTTTTCCACCCCCTGCCAGGCCTGCACGGGGATATGTAAAATCAGGCAGCTGTCAACATCAACTTCCCAGGCCTTGTGAGCTTCTAACATAAGGAGGAAGAGAGCAATTCCAGTGTTTGAGTGGGAAATGTGGCTCCCTTACAATTCCACTGGAGTGAGGTGATCTCCAGGAGGTCAGGCTGCCCTGCACCACATGCCCTCCAAACTGCTCCCCCGTGGTGTGAGTACAAGCTGTGCTGAGTTACTCATGCCGAGACAAAAATAAATACGTGCATACATCCTCATACTCTTCACCAGTATGACTTCTTGAAATTCTACCAATCCGTCTATCATAGCAGATGGGAAGACTGTAATTCATAGTATTTATTTTTGCCCTAACTTTGTCAGAGGCATACAAAAAAAAAAAAAAAAAAAGAAAAAAAAAGCAAACCAGGAGGCAGCACTGGATATTCATGCTTGACAACCGATGAAACCAGGAGCCAGAAAAAACTTCAGCTGATTCTGCTGAAGCCTCCAGGCTCCCTGCCCTCGAATGATCTCTCTCAGCTTCAGTTCCTGAAGTTGAGCTGGTGGCTTCTGTGAGCTGAGATCCAGGAGATTTCTGCTCCTGACAAGCATGAGACTTAATGACCTGGAAATCTGCGGTTGTAAGATTCCACCTTCCACTTAAGCAGTGCAGACTCTTGTTATGAGAGGGAATTAAACACCCACTCACCCCAAGAGCAGCAGAGATACAGAACTACTTCAAAATACCAGAGTGGAACAGAGCTAAGAGAGATGGCAGGAAATGATTCCAGAGTTAAAAACCTTCTGAGAGAAAGGCTGGGTCATTGATGGCAGTCAGCAATAAATAAGTAGATAAATCAAATGAATCCTCTATCCTGGCTGACAGGTAAGGACCACCAAGACAATACTGAGAGTATTCTGACCATTTAGAATGATGGATTAGAAGAGAGGCTTCACATGTTCAAATGCTCTCTCTGGAAGAGAGAGGACACCTCACAGGTGAAGCCAGTTCCAGCAATGCCTCTGTGCCAGTGCATGCCAAACCAAACAGCTTCCAGGTACCCCTTTCACATGTGTTTTTTTTTCTTTTTATTGCTTCTTCCTGTCTTTAAGCTACAACTTCCTTGGCCTGAGACATTCCAGACAGCATTCCCCACATCTGACAAGAGGCAAAGCCCCAGCAGCAGTGACTCTAGATGACATTTTTCCCCAAATTGGTAACACTCACTTTTTGCGTCTATGAGTCTTTCTCGTGGCGCGGTGTCAGAAGAAGAGAGCTGCTCCTTCACTTTGGCAATGTCTTTAGGATGGAGATAATCAAATAAACTTTGACCAATCAAATCATTCTGTAGAGATTGAACATTCAGTCAAAAAGTAAAATAATGGCTCAGAATATTTTCTTCACTTTAGCATCCAGTATGAACAATCCCTTTGCATATAGGTGCAACCAAGGAATATCAAACATTCAGATCCAGCCTCATTGCAGGGAGTTTGGACTGGATGACCTTTAAAAGGTCCCTTCCAAACAAACAATTTTATGATTCTATGATTTGATGGAAGGTTCTTCTCTGTGTACTGAAGTTATGACTACATTACACAGTAATTTCTGTCATCGTTTTCAGTACGAGTTTTGCAGAACTGGCATGCTCAATTCCTCCCCCCCCAAATATTCTGGTTTCTATTCAGTCTTATTTCTTCTACCACACATTTGAGTGAACAAAATCCCAATTGCAAATGCTCTCTTTCATTATTCACATATGAATAGAGATTTAGTATATACCTAACTAAAGTCTGGCTGAGGAAAACTTCTGAAGCCAACAGAGGTTTTTAATTTGATGAGGAGTGCAGATGACAGAAAGAATGAAGATTATTTACACAATGCATTGTCCAAGTTAAGCCTTATGTTGAGCATATATTAAAAACCTGGCTTTGGTGTAACTGCTTTCCTGTTTCCATCAGTAAGCATGCAAGCAAAACCAGAACAGATAAAAAGAAAGCTAAGCTGAAAAATGCATGGGAAGCTACTGGAAGAACCCCAGACTGATGTTCCAATATTTGCTTACACTCCCAATCAGGTAATGCTTTTGCAAGCCTGAGAGTAAATCCTTGAGCAAGATGCATCTATCAGTGAATTAAATTTAGTTCCCTTTCACCTCCTTGCTTTGAATGGAAACCAGAAACAATCTTCTCTAAAGGCATGGCAGAGAAAAGCTCTCTCTCTTTGCAACACCTCTCAGCTTTCAAGACAGACTCTTCTCATACCCAGATAAAGGCAAAACCATCAAAAAGCTCTCAAATCTTTTAATGTACTTAAAATGGAAAAGAATACCTGACTGTAGTTGAGGATCTTGAAGACAGATTCTGAAACAAACAGTATCTTTCCTCTGTCACAGCCCACAACAAAAAGAAATCCATCTGCTGCCTAATTGGGGGTGGGGGGGAAAAAAGTCAAATCCCAAGTTATACATCCTCACTGCATCGTTATAACCTTTAAAAACACTTGGTGTACAGTAGAATTTCTACACTAGGAGAGCTGCCTTAACATTTAGAGGTAACTGAGTCAACAGGAAAAATGTGAAATTACAATGAAGGGGTTTTTTGCATCTGCAAACATTTTTGGCATCATTCTGGGCATTGTGCCCAGAATGTAAAATAACTTTTATGAGAAGAAAGAACCCATGTCTTGTCCAATAATATTATGATTATGTTTAATAATGCCTTCAAATTAAAATGTTATTTTAACTGTACTTATAAAAGCTCCTCTTTTAGAAACCAGCCATAACCTGGATATTTATTTCTGTGCCTGGAGGCAACTAATTCTTATTTGCAAAGTACTGTCTTTCAGTCACACACAAGCATGCAGGAATAGGCCCCAATTATGTATCTTCAGAGTCACAATGCTGCAGAAATTAAATTCTGCCTATGCTGCACCTGGACACTGCAGTGCTTCAGCAATTACAGGGCCACCAGAAGAGCTTAACTAGTGACTACACTGTAAATCAGTGTAGCAACAGGCAGCCAGACTAAGTCATGTTACATCAGTGACCTCAATAAAAAGGTGTTCATTGTATCACTGTGCACTGAAAATCATGGCAAGGGAACCCAGGGCAGCAAGACTGCAAGGAGACAATTCATGTGATTTGGGTTTGTACATTCAATAACTGAAGATTCCAATACTTCTCATCTAAATCACCCTCTTCAATCTTTCTGCTTAAATTAAGAAATGCTAGTCATCATAAACTCACTGACTCTGTGAAGCAGTCTCCAGATTTCTTAATTATCCTCCATAATCAAAACATCTTTAAGCTGAGATACAAGGCAGAAAAATACCAGTGGTGTGCTTTGGGAGAGCTGTAGTCACATATTATTAATATCTCTTAATTAAAAGCTGGAACATACCCTGAGAATGAGATGTTTTAATTCATCATCTGATAGAAAAGCAGGCTTGTAGTTTGCTTCTGTATATGGGTTTGTAGCACCTGAAGAAAACAAACAAACAAACAAACAATTCCCATATCACCAACACTGCACACTGAAATGAGCAATTTTCCTCTGGCTCCTTCTTATACTGTTGTTCATTTAAAATGAACTTATTTGGTTTTGTTTTATTATCAACATGAACTCTGCTGGTATTAACTTAAAATAGGATGAAGCTTTTTTTTGCTAAGACACAAGTACCACATTAGGTAGAAATGCAAATTAAATGCCTCTGAGATATAAAAGTATTCCTTGACGTATTTTTGAGTCCAAAGGCTGCCCTTGATTTATGGCCTAGTCTCAGAACTAGAAATTATAAAAATAAGATAATAAAGAATAAAAACATTCAGACTATTTCTTCTCCTTATAACTCAGTAAAACATAGAGCTCATGTAAACAAACCATCACTTGGGAATTTACAAATCAATTTCCTCCTTCCAAGCCAAAGATAAAACACAGCATTACAATGACATCATCTTACAATTCCAAAACCCCCAAACTGGCAACAAATGAGGCAGCTATTTATTAAGGAGCCATTCTTCTCATTCCATTCCCTTCACAAAGGCAGAGAAGAGTCAAATTAGTGACCACTGAAGTGTTATGAAGTATTAACCCCATCAAATGACAGTGGCAGGGAAGTTAAGCCTTTCAAAACCACGAGATTAAATATGACTGAAGGCACCAGCTCTCCTAGAAATGAGAACAATCACCAGGATCTTTTTTTACCATTTGCTGCATCCCTTTTTTTTTTCTCAGTGGTGCATTTCTTGAAGGCTTAAGCTATTGACATCAGCACCAATTGCACCCAAGCACTGATTCACTCAAACAAAGCTTTAGGAACACCCAGCGATTTCTCACAACCTCAACTCTCCCAAACCTGTGTGTTTCCCTTCAAGGGCTGAAAAAGACCAAAACTGAGTTTTCAAAGCACTCTTTACTCTTTCACACAGAGCTAAAGGTACAAACACAAAACCTCAGAAGTGCTGTGGGAGTATCATACCTGCAATCCAACCTCTCTATCCAACAACTTGGTACACTGCCTGCTTAGAGCAGCGCTCAGGGCTGCACCAGAACTAACTGTGCACTGCCCTCAAGCCCTTTGTTTCCTCTCCCCACCTGCCCCAGCAGTGCAAGCTGGCAGCAGTGATCAATAGGTCAGATGGTGGAAAATTATTCTTTTCTCATGGCCAAGTTCCCCCAGCCACACCAGGGTATTTACTGGACCATCAATGAGTAAGCTGTGAGCACCAGATGCTAAGAAAAGGGGAAGACTCTTCCCAGAATGAGCTAACTTACTCCTTTTTGGCAAAAAAAGGGAGAGACAAAGCGTGGCTTTGGGGAAATGCCACTTGGAACGGCCCTGCAGCCCCAGGCAACTCACCACGAAGCGTTTTCATGTGCTGCACAGCCATCCTGAGCACGGTGAGCTTGTCCAGCTTGCGGGACATGGCGTTGCACGTGGGCACCAGCGAGGCCAGCTCGTCTATGAAACTGTTCATCTTATCCCTGCGCCTCTTCTCGATCTGACTGTGAGCCTCCCTGCACACACACACAGCAGGGCAGCGTCAGGACACGCAGCACTGCCCAAAAACAACCTCCTCCAAGGGACAGCAGAGCTTCTCCAGCCTTTTGATGGGAGTTACTTGGGTAAGGAACCGTTATAAGCAACAGGAAAGGTTGCAGCACAAAAGCTTCTGGCTTGCCAGAAACCACACCCAGCGCTGGTCAGGTTTGTGTTTTCCCATATTAAGATTCACTGCTAGCACTTTCACAAGTGGAAAGTGATTTTCCCACCTATGGAGGTTGAAAGAAGAAAGATGAAGAATGTAACACCACCAGAGATTTATCTGGCTTCAATTTCAACAGCAGTGAAGTGACTGAAACCAAGTAACTCACCAGATCAGTTGTTTCACTCTATGCAAACTGAATGAAAAATGTAAACAGTGCAAGATATGGAAAGATAAGAGAAGGTCAAAGCTAGAAAAAGGTCTTTTCAGAAGGAACACGCACAGATAATTCATACATGGCAAAAAGCAAGAGACAATCCTTTTAAAGTTACGTGTTTAGAGCATTACCTTGCATTTTTTATCCTGCCTTGTTGGTCTGCGTACTCCAATCTGTTGAGAAACGACATCACAAAGTTACAGCGTTGAAAGCACTCAACCCAACTCTTTCACTGCATCTCACATCCTACTGATCCTCCTTAAGATCAGTTTTTTTCAGAATCTGAATGTTTATTTAACCTTTCTAGAGCACAGCTCTATAACCCTGTGCCTCAGATGTGGGGATGCTCTAGCTTGTCTGCTCCATGTTGTTTAAACTAAGATTGTTTAGATTATTGCTTCACCCCAGCAAAGCAATAATCTGGGACCACAGTGACACTGAGAACAGGCATCCACAGTCAGGATCCTGTGTCAGAACTGAGATTTCAGTGACTGTATCAACAGTACCTTCCATGTTGGTCATCTTTATCTGTATCCATACCTTCCCTGCAGAAACAGAACAAAGCAACACATCACAAATCCAGCAGCGCTGGCAGAACTGTCATCCAACTACCACAAAGCCAGAACCAAGTACTCCTGCCACCTCTAAACCATAAATACAAAAATAGCAGCATGAAAACAACAACCTGGAAGGACTAAGGAAGCTGGGTGTTTTTTTGTAACATTAAAACATTTTCTTAAATTAGTTGTGTCTCCTTCAGAACTCACTAAATGGCACCGTTTGATGTGTTTGACAGTAAAACATGCTGCAGTTCAAAGATATCATCTGTTAACAAAAATGTTTTTCAGTTAACTAGAGGAGGGGGGGAAAAAAACCCAACTTAATGCAGATGCCTGTATGTTCTGTAGCTCAGTTTGCCTTACAGTAGTTGATTTTGGGGTAGAAAATGGTAATACACTAAATTAACACACCACTGGAGATGGCCCCATGCATGGAGAGAATAAAAGTCTGTGTGAAGCTAACCAGGCACACTGGAAATTAGTACAACCTCCAGTGTAGATACCTGGCTTGCTTTTGTTTCAACATGAGGAAAAGAAATAAGGAAAGAAGCACAAAGAATAGAAATAATCCCCCCTTATTACATTTAATATTGCAGCCACATGTGCACAACTAAGCAGGAGAGGAAAGTGTAACTTCTCATAGTTGTACTTGATAAAAAAAGCTAAATGCCCTTGACTACACATCTTTTTTTAGACAAGACAATTAGGAAGAGAATGTTTTGATTTATGTAAATCTGTACAACTGTGCTTAAGTGGATATTCCTAGGCCTGCTCATTCTGGTTTAATTTCTACGCATGAATTTTAAGTCTATGGAAGCAAAAGGCAGGGAAAAAACACTGGGCATCTTTTTCCAAGTGAAACCAATTACTGAAATATTTATACTTACTCAAAAGGAAAGCCATCGAGTCTGAAAAGAAAGAAAAATAAAGTACACCATATATAGGAAATAAGAACAACGTCTTACATTTTCTGCTGAAATTCTCAAGCTAATTCATATTCTATTTGAAATGAAAAGCACAATGAAAACAGGACAATAGCACTGAGCGTTTTCTAAAGAAACAAGCTTGTTCAAATTGATCTACTTTCTGAAAGAATAATTCTGCTTTTTAAGAAAAGAGAGCACAGTTCATTACACTTAACGTGAGAAACTAATAAAACAACTAACCTAAATTATGTTATGCAAATCATTGAGATATTGTTTCATCTTCAGAAAGGAAAGATCTGTGCTTTATGCGTGTTGTCCTTGTGGTTAGATAAATGGGATTTCAGAGGACTCTAAGGCCAGAAATAAAACATAAAAATAAAAATAAAGTATCCCAAGTTTCTCAGTTTTTGATTCTTGCCCAGCAGGGCAGATGCACATTTTGTTTTAGTCTAAAGTCCCAAGCTGAACTTTATACAGACTTTATCATATCACAAGGAAATTAAGCAGAATTTCTACATGCAAACTAACTGCTGGCATCACTTCAAGACTCTAAAGTGACCTGAAATACCACTGAGCTTTACCATGATAAGAGGTTGTGTTTCACAGAAGCCTTATGAAAAAGTCTTCTCATCTCAGCCAATAACATACCAGTTATTCCTGCTCAACACTGGACACGAGCCTTCATGAAAACCAACATGGCAGCCTTTCATCTACTATTCACTGCACTCTAATTATCCTTCTGATCAGTTTTAAAATCATAATGATCATTCTAAATGTTTCTATCATCTCCCAGTGTGCACACCCGAGTTATTGTCTTGGCCACTGACTCCTGATGCTCACAGTTTAACAGCACTTGAGCCACCACCTTTAGCTCTGGGATGTTTGTGTGTAAAAACCCCCAGAAAGCAAAATCTAGAAGGGCTATGAGGTGAGTTACTAATGCATCAGGGGAGTTTGTTTTCTCATCATGTAGTATTTCCACAGAAAGCATTACTCCCAAGAAAAGAAATTTATTGTTCATAATCCTATGCATGAAACCTTGGACAACAGCATTTGACCAGCCCTTGCTGAAGTGACAGCAATAACCTGGGCGGGAATTTTCCTTGAGGAGTTGCAGCAGAAAGAACTAAAAAGCTGCAGTGGAGAGCTGGAAGTGCAGCTGATGACTCCTCTTGCTTGTAACTCAAGAGGTGAGCAAAGAACCACCCTAAAACACTGGTTCTGCCTCCCTTATTCCCTGGCTTCACTGGTACGTGAAGCATCAAACTGGACACTTGGATAATTTATAAATACAGTAAAATAAATATTATAAATAGAATAAAATCCTTAACAGGTAGCAGAAGTTGAACAGTAGCATTTCTGAACATTTTCCCATACATACACATATAAGGAGGGATAAAGGTGATCTACCTTAAGCTCTGCTTTCCAACAGGAACATTTAGTAGCCACCATTTACTTTACAACACAAAATCAACTGTGGCATGACTACATAGTAAGTGGTGGTATGCAGTGTATGACTACAAAACAAGTCAACTTATTTTACTAAGGATTCAAGGAAACACAGTTTTCACACATTTTAAAAAAACCTAAACACAAAACCTAAAGGGCAGAATTATACCTTACAAAAACAAGCTGTCTTTTGGAAAAGAGGACCTGAGTAATGCTTCCTGTCCAGGGGAATAAAAATGGAGAAATCCTTTCTAGAGAAGTTGGGAGGATTGAGGCTGTTCACTCAATTTTGTAGTAGTCAATTCAACTAGAGGGACACGTGTGCTTTCCAGGGAGGTATTTAAAGTTTAGTGCACAAGTTCTCCTAAAAGGAATCAAATCCTTACTTGTGATGCTCAGCATGGATTAAAAACTCTGCCCCTCCTCATAAAAAGAGCTGCCAACAATCCAAAGGCCCCCAGCAATAAAACCTGTGCTAAGTTACATAAAAATGGGCTGGATGAATAATGGATGTGGCACACTCACTCAGTGTGAATTCCCAGTGCAGGGGAGGCTTGCACAGGCATTTACAGGCAGCAGGCTGCTCTTGGTGCTCCCAGGGCAGGAGCCACCCCAGGTCTGGGAGTTTGGCAAACTCTGCTGTGCCCCTCCCTGCTCTGAAGCAGAGGTGCTGGGCTTTCCTTCCACACCTGAGAACCACTACAAGATTACCAGCTGGTTAAAAGAAAGGCAGCTCTAATGCCTCAAACCAGGGACTGTGCGGATTCATATTCAAATGAGAGATCAAAATAGCTTCACCAGGCAAAGGCTGGCAGCACACGGATAGGAAGTGACTAAATAGGCAAAAAATAGGTGAGGAAAAGGAACTACTCCTAGTTTTGCTTCCACTTTTCAACAAATTTATTATCTTCCCCCCTCTGTTAGTCAGACATTGTATTTCCTATGTAAATGGTCAATATAATCAGCTTTCACACTGTACATTTCATCGGTACTAATTCCACTCCCCCACCAGCCAGAAGATTTCTCCTCAGTCTTACCCCTTGTGATAGCCCTCAATTCTAGCTGCACTGAGATGACAGCTTTATTTTCATCAACATTATTATTATTATTATATGAACTTTCCTCTTAGTGCACCATAGCTTTAAATCAAGAGATATCCAACTTACTGATAATCAGTTGAGCTTCCCTTTCTTTTCCTATTACAGTCCATTCCTGAAGTGCTAAGGGAACTGGAGATCAAGTCAGCAGGGTCTGGTGACATAAAGTCACTAATGGTAGAAGATATGTCCATCCTTTGGTCTGCCATTGGACTGTCTAACATTAGGGAAGAAATGAAAAACCCCCCAAACATAAAAAACACTGCATTAATAGAAGCAGATATTTACATAATTTTAACCAAAAAAGTTCTCTAATTTAGCATTCTTAAAAACTGTAACAATCAGTTTCTATTTTTAACTCTTGCTGTAAAAATAACAGGAAATTTCTCCTTTTCCAGTTACTGCTGTATGGAGTATTGCACACAAACCATGACCATTCTCAAAAGACATTATGTACCACAATTGTTTTTAGAGATTTGTCAGAATGATCTTGACCTAAACCAGGTTTATGTTATGTTACCTGGCCAGCCAATTGCTTCTACCTAACAAGAATATTTCTGACAAGAAACACTTGTTTTAGTGTTGAAGACCACATTAGAGTTCACCAACTTTTAAAGTCCTATTTCCACTGAATTCAGAACACTTCCATAGAAATAAAAACCTCTGCACAGCAGACTCCACAAATAAAAACATTATAACCCAATGGTGGTCTAAGAAGTCGAGTTAAAGGTACAAATGAATCAAATTGGCTTTTTAATCCTCTAGACTGCAAGTAATTCAAATCTTCACTATTTAATCCTCTAGACTGCAAATACTTACACTGTTGGAAGAAACCCTGTGAAAAGTTCCCTGCTAAATAGCACCAACTGTAAAAGACAAGAGGTTTTACCTGAAGGCCTGTCTTGGAAGCCTAAATCCACTTGGGCAAAGATGATGATGCTCGGCCCAAAGCAGCTGATAACCTTAGAACTCTTCCATGCCTCATGTTCTGTTGGTCAAATACTTCCAAAAACCTGAATGGGAGGAAAAACAGCAAGCTTAAAAAAACACCTTAAAAATAATTGGCTTAGACACAGTTGACAAAAGCAATAGGTTTTGTTTCCAGCTCAGGGATCAAATATTCATTTCCTTACAAAGTGCAGAAGCTTTATCCATCCAGCCAAAGGGTTATCTGCTGGGATGTGCATCTCCAATGGACCAAGCTCTGGCAGAAGGGAGCTCTGGCACCACCTCCTTTCAGACCCATCCTCTGGACTTTGCACAAACCCCCTCTGCTCACAATGGTCCCACGATGCCAACCGTGAGCACATTTGCTGTCAGATGCTGCCAGAAAGGGTTAAATTGCTGCCACAGTGCAAAGGACAGGCTCACCCTTCACTCCTGACTGCCTGACTCTAAGGGTGGTCCTAAGTTTGGGCTTGGCTTACTGTTTTGTTTGCCAATGTAACAGCAGTTGGCATCTTCGAAAGCCAGGGGTGAAATATTGTTTTATTCTGCAGGCTTCAGGATTTACATAAAATCTAGATCCCACACTACAACTCAAGCCTCAAATTGTCTCCCAGCTATAGTACACACATGTGGGTGCCCCTCCCTTCCACACTTCTGTCACAGAACAAGTTTTTCAGCAAAACTTACTATGGAAGACTTAGAAACTGTTCCACATTTTCCTCTTGAAAGAAAACTTCCAAAGTCCATTGGGCACAGATTTCTGGCTGAGCACCTGGGAGCACCCTGAATGCCTTTCCCAACCTGTGACAGCACAACTTCCCAAGTACACAGAACAAGCTCCCATGACACTCTCAGAAGTTTACAATCCTGTCAACATGACCACAACCAATTCTGCTGAAGCATGTATGCAGACATGAGTTATTAACCAAAAAAAAAAAAAATCCAAAGCTGCTTGTTACCATTTTCTTCAGGTCTGCCAGAATAGCAGAATTCAGAATTTCACAAGCTTCAATTATCTAAATTTCTGCTTCTGGCACTGTAAGGTCAGGTAAGCCATTGTCTTGGTACCCCCAATGAAGAGAGGATCACTGCTGTTCCAGAGCATCCAAACTGCTGCTGGGGCTCATGGTCCATCTCACCCAACAACTCCCCTGTTGCCCTCTCCCAAATAACCCAGCCCCTTTTCCATTTCTGACACTGTGTGGACGTACTGCTAGAGGCACATTCAGAGGCACCAGAACTGACCAAAGCTAAATCTGCACCAATTTAAGCCAAATTACGAAATGCCATTGAATCCACAACCACATTTGCTTTCACTCACAGCTGCAGCTATTTGTAGGCCAGGCCCTACTGCCTCCCTGTGCCAGCCTTTTCCCAGCCTCTGCTTCGTCTCTCTCACCCCCAGCAGCCCAACAGCTACAGATCAATGGTGTTACTGTGCTGGATGAGCTTGCTGCAGCTCAATTTTCCAGTAAAACCAGTCACTGGCCATTGCTCAGACCCATGATCTTCAGCCTCAGCTGATGTAGCAGAAATTTGTTATAGCTAAACTCAGTGTGCTCCTGAACACCTCTGTATGTGAGGGCTCACATACAGATATGTGAATGATATGATGACCTCAGACATGAGGCTGGGATGAGATGGAATGAACAAATTAAAAAGGAAGTAGGGGAAAAAGGGGTTTTAATTTTATCACAGTTCTCTCTCTTTAAGAATGCCTGCAACAGTCAGCATTTCAGCTTCAGAACCAGAACGCTGCACAAGTCACCGTGCACTAATGCAAAAAAATTGTTCATCTCAAAAGTTTCATAACAGTTTTATAGAAAAAAAATCTTGAAATCAAGTATCCATTCAGCTGTACTATTTTATACCTGTCTATATTTGATAGTTTCAAAGCAACTATTTTAAGTGTCTTGACCATTTAAGCAGAAAAAAGTATACAAAGAGGAGAATTCTCAATTTATTTTCCAGTCAGCCCTTTCTCTACCATGTCCCAAATGCTCATCCAGTCCTAACAATCACAGTCCTACATTTTAGCATTACAGGAGTTAAGAACCATGAACGTCTCTTGAAATGAGTTCTAAAGTTAAGATGTCAACTCAATGATCAGAGCAAAAATCAGCATGTCCTACTAAATAACACAGTTCAGAGAAATGTGGTTTTTTTTCACAAGGCTTTCTTAAAATTCTAGGAAATTGAATATTTTTCTGTCTTTTCAGCCTCCATCTGCTGGATGTTCAATACCTAAAAAAAATTCTCTCTGAGAAGGAACACAAAAGTTACCCATGTATATAAGCAAAGTTCAAACCTTCCATTTATGATGCCAAACCTGTTGCCAAAGTGCTCTAAGGACCTACTTGAAAAAAATGCCATGAAGTCTACTTTCTGATTGAATTCTCCTGCAGAGGAGAATCAAATGGTATTTTGTGACTGTACCCAAGACAGTTTGTCTCTACAGCCTGTTTGGGATACTTCCTTGGCATCCCCATTCCCTGCATTCCACCTTTCTGTGATCCCCTGGAACAAGGCTAATGAGACAGCAAAAAGCAATCTTAGCAGAAGAAGTGAGATGGCACGTGACCAGCTTAATCATGCAGCAAAGCTGATCACGAGCACACAAACACCTCTGAGAAATCAAGGTCACTGCTAAAGTAGGTCAGCTCCACGAGCCAAGCACCCACCCAGAGTCAGGACCTCTTTCCACAAGCCCCAGCAGCCCTGGCTCCCCCAGGCAGCCCCGGCCAATGCACACACAGATTGATTCTGGAAGAAATGCAATTTGTAACTTTATGAATCACGAGCATCTCGTGGCTCAAAAGGGCGATTTCGCAACGACGGAGGAAAACCGTGGTGCGGTTTCCTGAAGAAGCCATTGAAGAGATACTGGCTGTCCCTCTGGATAATGACTGAACCAAAAACAGCTCCGAAAAGGAAATCATCTACTTCCCTTCGCAGCAGTATTCCGTGGCTGGAGTTCAGTGTCACAGCACCAGCTGGTACAAAACACAAGGAGAGGTTCTCCACCTTCCCCAGTTTGCTGCTGCTGCTGCTGGAGGCTCCCCAGCCGCTTGTGCTGGGTGATGGGGAGGTTCCAGCTCAGCAGCACGAGGACTCCGAGTGTCCCCAGGATGATTTCAAGATGCAGACCAGCATCCACGGGCTCAATGCTGCAAGCAACAGGCAGCTCCTACATCAGAACATTTATTAGGGAAAACTCCTCAGCAATCACAGGAAGATCCCTGAAGTAAAGCAGGGTAGTTTCCTTTGCCCTCAGTACTTAAGGAATACTTAAGTCAGAATACTTCCTATCTTTCCAATATATTGATACTGTGTGGTTTTAATGGCTCCCTAACACCATTTGCAAGTACTGTGCACTCCCAGAGGACAAAAGCTACAAGAGGAACAATTTTGACACGGAGGGGGAAAAAAGTCTCCAATAAACAGAAGAAAAACTCCATGTGCAGTTCCTGTGTAGATCTGTCCAGGTACACTCCCACACCGAGAGCATCTGTTCATCACCAGAGTCTCTGAGAAAAGGCACAACAGGTCACATCATCACAGCTCTCCAGACTCTCACAGTGCTGAGACAGAACAATGCATTTCATCTTCTTCACAGAACACTGAGAGTTCCAGATCAAGAGGGGTCTCGGCTCCCATCTCTCCTTGTTTATGAGGGAAAGTACCCACAACAACCTTTATTGCCAGCTACTTTAACAAAGGACTTCTCTGTTTTCTTCCCTCTGCCTCAAAACCAAGAGTCAGTGCTCACTAAAATAACTTTCTCTTGCATGGGGGAGCTCAGAACTCAGCTCAGAACACAGAAGTGTCTCAGCAGAGCTGAGTACATGGCAAGGAAGGAAGGATCACTTCCCTCAGCCCAGCACAGCTCCTGATGCAATCCAGGAGGCTCCTGGCCTCCTCTGCTCCAAGGGCACCCTTGCTGGCTCACAAACCATCAATATCTTTTCTGCCAAGCTCTTTTCCAGCTGTTCAGTCCCTAACCTGTACTGAGACATGGGGCTTTTCCCTTTCCAGTGTAGGACTTGGCATTTCCCTTTGCTAACTTCCTCGGGTTCTTTGTAAGATTTTTGGTGACCCTTTTCTCTGGTCTGTAGAGATCCCCCTGCTTGGCAGCACACTCATGTGGGGTCTCAGACACTGCTCCCAGTTTGTATTTGTCTGCAGCTCTAAGTAGAAATTTCAGACAGCGTGGAAGGAAAGGAAAACAGGCTGGTTCTGGAAAGGGAACCCAACAGAATTAAACAGCTTCCAAAAATCCTAGCTCATGCTCTGAGTGAAGCAGATAAATACGTGTTTCAAGGGGGTGTAGTCACACAGAAGTCACACATGGATAGAAGGATGGATCACCTTCAAAGCAGAAAAGGAAAAATGGATCAGAACCAAAGCCAACCCATGACACTTCCAGGAACCAAACCTGTTTAGACCAGCTGTGCTACGGATGAAGTATGTCCCTCCTTAGCAGGGCACTGGGACAGACTGTAGTGACAGAGCTCAAGGCCTAGCTTACAGTTCTACAGAACAGCCACGGGAGACATGATCAGAACCAGCATCCTGATTATCCAGGTCCTGATAATCTGGTCCTCAGCCACAGGAGAGTCCATTTCCTCTCACATCTCAGTGTCTGCCCCTCTACCTGCCCGCTGAATCCCAGCTGCAAGAGTGTTCCAACACAGCTTGCTAGTTTGCAACCATTACTGAAAGCTTGATCTAGTATAAGCTTCCCGTCAGCCAAGATTAGACTCTGGGAGCTCTTATTCTTTGAAGTGAGCTTATGCTGCCCTGTTTGCATATTTCATTCTGGGCAGCCACCAAAAGGAAACATCACAAGGGAACTAATGGAGCCCTTGTGAAAAGGTGGTGATGCACGCTCTTGGAAATCAGTACCAACACGCTGCTGTTACCAAAGGAATTTGGCCTGCTTCAATAATCAATCTGCCAGCACATGCACTCCTCAGGTTCCAAGAAACTGCTTCCACAGGGAAAACAGAAAGGGACCTGCCTTTCTTGGAAGGCCAGGTTTGAAGGGATTTATGAAACCCCTACACACGAAGCAAAGTGTAGCCTCTCTACAGGCCAGTGGAACCAAGAAGTGCTGGTCATCACATCACCAGATATTGGGTATAGACAGCTCCCAGTGCTGCAGGGATTCCTAAACTCAGCCCCAGCACACAGAATGAGACTGGACCAGCACTTTGTGTCTCCCCTGAGAGCAGGAACTGCTGAATTCTGTCTCAGAGCTCTGCAAACTGAGATACTGGGTGTCTCGTGACATTCTATGGGCACGCTGAGGTCACCACA